ATAATATTAATAATATTTGCTTTAATGATAAGTTTGTGTATTTATTATCAAACGATGGATTCATATATTCATATGATTTTCGTATGAAACAAATGAAACCAATAAACAAAACAATTAACTTCAATGAAATCACACAATTATATTCATATGTGAAAATGAGATCAATAATAGCAGGGACATCTAATAATAAAATATATGAATTTAGTTCATCAAAAATAATGGAAACAAATTTTACAACATTTGATGATTTCTTTTCACATGAATTGCAAATTAGTTTGAATACAAATGCAACAAATAATCTACAAAATCATAAACAATTATTAATTACAAACCCACAAAATAATGGTAAATATTTATTTTATTGAAACCCCTTTGTAAAATACACTATGCTTACATATTTTACATTAATTGTTAAAACTTATTAATTTAGATACGCACGATCATTCAAATAAGTCAACGTTTGATAAAACATTTAAAACAATTTCTATAATTGGTGAGGGTGCTTTTGGAAAAGTATACAAAGTTCGTGACAAATATGACAATCAACTCTATGCTTTAAAGGAATGTGTATTAAGTGGTAAATTAGTTTAATATTTGTTAGATTATTAAATTATTTATTTATTTAAAATGTTAATATATAAAACTCATATCAAACACACAATCATTAAAACACTTATATCTCGGGAAATACATGTCCGATAGTGGCCAGACTCGGGTATATAAACTGAATTAAAAAATAATTTAATTTAACCAAATGAATGATCCCATGTTGTATAATCCGTTTGTATACTGTATATAATCTCATTTTGATAACTTTATTTTAAAGAATATGGTTATAAATAATCTATTAACTTATAATTTACTCAAAATACTGCACAACAAAATACGTTGTCATATTTTTTTAAAACAATGTTATTAATAAGAGATTATTCGTACGGATTAGTGAAATAAAATGGGGAGCTTCACAAAATTGCTTAATTTTATAGCCCAGGTTACAGCCTATTGTCTAGAATACTGCATGTGTCCCATAAATCTATATCAGGAAACGATTTTCAATTTCATTGGGAAGAAATGTTCCCCGAAACTTAAATATTGCCGGAAAGAAGATTGGTTATGAGTATAGATAGCAAGTTCAGAAAGTTTATATGCTACTTAAGTACAACTTTTCTAAACTTGCTATCTATACTCATAATCAATCTTCTTTCCGGCAATATTTAAGTTTCGGGGAACATTTCTTCCCAATGAAATTGAAAATCGTTTACTGATATAATTTTATAATTATTTATAGTTAATATAAATTTATAAATTGATTTTTCTAAAGGATTGAAAGAAAAAGAGAAACAAAACGTTTTAAATGAAACCAAAAGTCTAATCAAAGTTCGTTCTGAGTTTGTCATTCAATACTACTATTCATGGATTGAATGCAATTGTCTTTACTTTCAAATGGAGTTATGTATCAATAATCTCAACCATGTTTTGGAAACTAAGAAATTATTTTTTAGTGGACTCATGACTAGTTCAGAGTTTTATATATCGTATCAATTATTTCGTGAACTCACAGAATGTGTGCAATATTTGCACGAAAAGCATATCATTCATAGAGACCTCAAACCGGATAATGTGTTGATTTCAAAGGACTATAGGATAAAGTTATGTGACTTTTGTGATTCAATACTACTATTCATGGATTGAATGCAATTGTCTTTACTTTCAAATGGAGTTATGTATCGATAATCTCACAAATGTGTTGAAAACTAAGAAATCATTGTTTAATGAATTGATGACTAGTTTTGAGTTTTATATATCTTATCAATTATTTCGTGAACTCACAGAATGTGTGCAATATTTGCACGAAAAGCACATCATTCATAGAGACCTCAAACCGGACAATGTGTTGATTACATGTGAAGGGTATATAAAGTTATGTGACTTTGGTTTGGCTAAAGAGGTCCCAAATTGTGATCCGTTTCTTATGACCAAAGCTATACATACCGCTGATGTCGGGAATCTGTCATATCAGGCACCGGAAGCCCAGACTAATGATTACAACCACTTGATAGATATATACAGTCTATCCCTAATTGGGGCTCAAATTTTTGGTTTCGATACAAACGATATAATGGACGGAAAGTATGTTTTGATTTTTTATAAAAATTTACGGGTAATAACATGACAAATATTTTTAAAATATGAATAAATTTTTTTGTTTTTTAGAATTAATGACATAGAAAAAGACAAAACTATTTCTGAATTAATGCATGAAATGAATGCATTATTGGTGTCAATGAGTGTTCATAAGTTTCGCGAAAACGGTTCAACAGATTGGAGGCAAAGACCCGAATGTTCGCACATTTTATCACAATAGCAGCCATGTCCTCTTTTTTAACTGTTATAAAAATTTTCTTGAAATTAATTATAATTAGCGCTCATATAGAATATCGGAAAACAATATTCCACTCGAATTGGAATATTCTGTAAAATATAATTCTTATCACAATTGCAGACATTTATGACAAATAAACCCATTATTGGAGACAAAGAATTCAATCCACTATTTGATGCTATGATTGACAGAAAATGTGATATTATGTACAAATTACTTCTGAAAAGTGAACTCATTTTTGTAATCCGAAAGTCTAAGAAAAACATAAAAAGTTAGATATATTTAATTTGTATTTAATTTATTAAAACCTACATAAAACTTATTCAATTTATTTTAATTTTCAGTGACAATAATATCTAGAATATATAATTCGATTACAGACTTGATATTTGCACCAAGACTTACAACAAATTCTAAATTTACAATATATAAAATCGGACATATATTTTCTCCAGAAACGTATTTATTATTAGTATTGAATATACCCTTATGTAAGTGATTGTATTTATTAAAATTGCATGTCAAACTATATTGCTTAAATACGTTTCCCATTCATTGAACATATCCAGGTATGGAGGACATGGCTGCTATTGTGTCTGATACCCGAAAGTCATTTGATTTAAAGTCCAAACATGTGGTGCGATATCACGATGCTTGGATTCAACATGGCCGACTAAACATAAAAATGGAATTATGTTCAACTAAGGATCTGGATGCATTTATGGAAGCAAACAGATCTTTCTTGAAGGAATAATAAATCAATCACATAATTATAACTTACAAAACGTAACGTAATTTTTTAATGGATACTTTCCCTTCAGGAACAATCATTTAAAGAAAAATTGATTTTTAAAACTTAACCGGGATGTCCTTTTTTAACTGTTATAAAAATTTTCTTGAAATTAATTATAATTAGCGCTCATATAGAATATCGGAAAACAATATTCCACTCGAATTGGAATATTCTGTAAAATATAATTCTTATTACAAAACATATAATTGTATATTTTAAATAATAAATGCAATAAATATATCACTAAGGATACTGTCATAAAAGCATTATGAGTTTCCTAAGCTGGCATTTTTGATTTGTTGATTGGAAATGAAAGCCCATTCAATGCTGAGTCCGAATATGTCATTTATATTGTCCTGTGACCTCGGGTTCGGCCGCAGTGAC